AAATTAATACACAGAAATCTGAGGCTTCCTATACACTAACAATGAACTAATAGAAAGAGAAATCAGGAAAACAATTTCATTCACAATTGCATCAAAAAGAATAAAATATGTAGGAATAAACCTAACCAAGGAAGTGAAAGACCTATATCCCAAAAACTACAAGAACCTCCTAAGAGAAATTAAAGAGGACACTAACAAATGGAAACTCATCCCACGCTCTTGGCTCGGAAGAATTAACATTGTCAAAATGGCCATCCTGCCCAAAGCAATCTACAGATTCGATGCAATCCCTATCAAATTACCAACAGCATTCTTCAACGAACTGGAACAAATAGTTCTAAAATTCATATGGAACCACCAAAGATCCCAAATAGCCAAAGCAAACCTGAGAAGGAAGAATAAAGTGGGGGGATCTCACTCCCCAACTTCAAGCTCTACTACAAAGCCATAGTAATCCAGACAATTTGGTACTGGCACAAGAACAGAGCCACAGACCAGTGGAACAGATTAGAGACTCCAGACATTAACCCAAACATATATGGTCAATTAATATACGATAAAGGAGCCATGGACATACAGTGGGGAAATGACAGCCACTTCAACAGCTGGTGTTGGCAAAACGGGACAGCTACATGTAAGAGAATGATACTGGATCACTGTCTAACCCCATATACAAAACTAAATTCAAAATGGATCAAAGACCTGAATGTAAGCCAGGAAACCATAAAACTCTTAGAAAAAAACAGGCAAAAATCTCTTGGACATAAACATGAGCCACTTCTTCATGAACATATCTCCCCAGGCCAGGTAAACAAAAGCAAAAGTGATCAAGTGGGACTATATCAAGCTGAAAAGCTTCTGTACAGCAAAGGACACCATCAATAGAAAAAAAGGCATCCCACAGTACTGGAGAGTATATTCATAAATGACAGATCCGATAAAGGGTTGACATCCAAAATATATAAAGAGCTTACGTACCTCAACAAACAAAAAGTGAACAATCCAATTAAAATATGGGCAGAGGAGCTGAACAGACAGTTCTCCAAAGAAGAAAGTCACATGGCCAACAGACACATGAAATGATGCTCCACATCGCTAGTCATCAGAGAAATCCAAATTAAAACCACAATGAGATATCACCTCACACCAGTAAGGATGGCCACCATCCAAAAGACAAACAACAACAAATGTTGGCGAGGTTGTGAAGAAAGGGGAACCCTCCTACACTGCTGGTGTGAATGTAAATTAGTTCAACCATTGTGGAAAGCAGTGTGGAGGTTTCTCAAAATGCTCAAAATAGAAATACCATTTGACCCAGGAATCTGATTTCTAGGAATTTACCCTAAGAATGCAGCAGCCCAGTTTGAAAAAGACATGTGCACCCCTGTGTTTATCGCTGCATTATTTAGAATAGCCAAGAAATGGAAGTAACCTAAGTGTCCATCACTAGATGAATGGATAAAGAAGATGTGGTACATATACACAATGGAATATTATTCAGCCGTCCTACCATTTGCAACAACATGGATGGAGCTAGAGGATATTATGCTCAGTGAAATAAGCCAGGCGGAGAAAGACAAGTACCAAATGATTTCACTCATATGTGGAATATAAGAACAAAGGAAAAACTGAAGGAACAAAACAGCAGCAGAATCATAGAACCCAAGAATGGACTAACAGTTAGTTACCAAAGGGAAAGGGGACTGGGGAGGATGGGTGGGAAGGGAAGGAGAAGTTGGGGGAAGAAGAAAGGGAGCCTCATGATTAGCATGTATAATGTGGGGGGTGGGCACGGGGAGGGCTGTGCAACACAGAGAAGATAAGTAGTGATTTTACAGCATCTTACTACGCTGATGGACAGTGACTAATGGGGTATGTGGGGGGGACTTGTTGAAGGCGGGAGTCTAGTAAACATAATGTTCCTCATGTAATTGTAGATTAATGATACCAAAATTTTTTTAAAAAATCAACATAACCTGATGGACACATAGAATACTGAGCCCACCATTACTAATTCTGCATTCTTTTTAAAAACATAAGGAACAGTTTCAAAAATGAAACTATTCATTTGCTGAGCCATAAAGCTAATCTTAAGAAATATCAAATAACTGAAATTATACAAAATACACTAATTGCATTACAATTAAGCTGGAAATTAATTATAGAAATATGATTAGAAAACTCCCATGTATTTAAAATTTCAGAAATCTTTCTCCATTCCCCATCGGAAATCAAATGAAATTTTAAACATTTTAGGTGAACTATAATGAAAATGTTGCATATTAAAATTCATAAGATAAAGTTAAAGCTATGCTTAGATGTTTATCATTTTAATTGCATATATTAGATAAAAGGAAAGGTTTGGAATGAATGAATCAAACAGCCATCTTAAGAAATTAGAAAAGTACTGAAAACTGAACTCAAAGAAAGAAAAAAGATAAATGCAGAATTTAAGGAACTAGAAAACAAATATAAACTAGGATATATTAAAAAAACCAAAAGCTGGGTTCTTTAGAAAGAGAAATAAAATTGATTTAAAAAAACAAAACCCTAGCAAGACTGAGCAAGGGAGAAAAAAAGAAAAGAGAAAAATAGTCAATGTCAGGCATAATAAGAAGACACACAACAGAGCCCACCTTCATTAAAGATCATGAGAAGATCTTAAACAATGTCACACTTTTCCATTTGAAAATTTAGATAAAAGGGTTAATTCCTAAAATTCAGAATTTGTTTAAACTGACACAAGAAAAAATATGAATCTTAACTAGTCAAATAACTATTAAATCAACTGAATCCATAATTTAAAACCTTTCCACAAAGAAAACCCCAGGCTTGGAGGTAATACTCTCTAAAATGTGTACATGAGTGCACAGTATACAAGCACAAAAAAGATCACAGCAGCACTATTTGTATGATAAACTGGGGACAACCCAAATATCCATCAAGAGTAGAATAAAAAAACACATTGTGACACATTTAGAAAAGGCAATACTATCCAGTGATGAAAATTTATAGACTACAACTACACACAACATGGGTGAATTTCACAAGTGAAAGGCTGAGTGAAATGAGTCAAGCATGAAAGAATACCTGCTGTGTAGTTGATATGATGTTGTCAAAACAGGCAAAACTAAACCTTAGCATTTTAGGGCATGTATTTTGTTGATAAAACTATAAGGAAAATCAAGAACATTTTACCGTGAAAGCCAAGATAATGGTTACCTGTGGTGGGAGGGAGGGTTGGAGGCATGAAAGGCAGCAGAGAGCGCTTCTAGAGTGCAGCAGTTATATTTGTTGACCTGATCGTTAATGACACTGATGTTAACTTTGGGATAATTCATGGAGCTATAGAGCTTTCTGTAGGTATATTTTATTTTACAGCTTCAAAAGTGATGAGAAAAAGGGGGTGGGAGAAGGGAGAAAGGAAGGAAGGAAGGAGACAGGGGAGGAAGGAGGGTGAAAGGAAAGAAGAATGCGGCGGGCTAGAGTCTCTTAAAGAGAAAAGACTGCTGAAAAAACTGCTCTGAGCCGAGTTGGCAAACTCAAATGCTCAGAAGAATCAGGCAGGCCCTGCATGAATGGTCGTTTGGGGTGGAGGGTGAGAGAAGCCCATTGCTCAATAGCATCTAATACTCAGTCTCCGTGTCCAGAAAGACACTGTCTGTCGTTACAGAGACAGTGACAAAGTGAAGAGTGTGTGCCACCTGTCAGGGGACAGCTGTCGCTCAGTTCCAGCGACAACAAAGAGCCAGTCCTCTCAGATCCGCAGCTTTTCAAGTCCAGCTGGAGATCTGAACTTTCCTGTGATCTGCTGTTTCTTAAGTGTTGATAACTAAATTGAATTGTTGTAAACATCATTCAGGCCAAACAAAACCCAATTTATGTTCTGGATAAGGTCCATGGGTTTAAGATCCACTCAGAATTTGGTGAGGGGCTCGTCAACCCATAGGCATGGCTTCCTCCAGCAATCCCAGTTGCCACCGAGGTGACAGATACCAGGCTCAGGCTGTAAGGAATCTGGATGGCAGAAGAATAAGAGAGCACCTCCCTGAAAGTCTTCACCCCAAGATCCAGGAAGCTGGAAGGACCTCAGGGACGAAGGACTCGAGGAAAGATCAGAGACTGAAAGCCCCAGTGAGCACAGGAGAACTAAGAGCCGAGCTGACTAAGAGGCAGAGTCAGGAGGAGTTTCCAAATTCAAGAGCTCCGAAAATAAACCTTTCCTTTTCTCTTTTACTTGCATTGCTCTCAACTTGCTTTTCTTTTTTTTAATTCTAACAATTCTATAGGCAATCGGAAGCATGAAGAAAATAAAGCAACTCCAGGCTGTTGTGGAGGTGCTCTGTTCATTAGACGTTCTGCTCTTAAGCCCACTGGTTTCAAAAGTTGAGACACACACACTTTCCGAATGATCCAGTCATGGACTCAGACCACAAGCCAAGGCCACAAGCAACAGCGCTTGGCCTGCATCTGCCTCGGCCCCTTGTGGCTGCCTTCCAAGAAGTGCTGGAACAGCGGAAGCAGCTAGCCACATAAGAAGTGGTCAGCAGTTGGGAACAGCTGGAGTGGAGAGGGGAGAGCCAGTGAGCAAACATCAAAGTTTGAGAAACAAGGCTTTGGCTGAACAAAGTTCACTGTTGTTTTCCAAGAAAGCAGAGCCTAGTTGAGCCACCCCAGAGAACAGGGCGAGGAGCAATGAACTGAGGGCTGGCTTTCAACTTCTAAGGCTCAGTGTGCTGGTTTGCTCAGCCACCCAACAATGAGGAGGGCTATTATTGCTCCCTCAGGGCAGAGGGCAGGCAACAGCTCAGGGTAAAAGGGGAAAGATGGACAGGAAGTCAAAACAAGACCAAACTACAGAAACAGAAAGCAAGTTGAAAGGAAAAACAACAAGAAGGCCTTTTGTCCTTTCCATGTGCTATGCAAATGTGCTTCAATTAATCTTCCTTCAATTATTCCATCCTAAACCTTTAGAGTTGTTCAAACCTACACGTACCCACCTTTTGAAGTAGTGAATTCTCCATTCCTAGCAGAGTTGGAGCAGAAACTCAATCATTGTCTGTCAGAAATTCTATTAAAAGGATGAGAGGTTGAAAGGGATACTTTTAATTCTTAAAACTGTGATTTGCAGAACTGGATACTCCCTGACAAAGTATAGGATATTCATATGTCGCTATATACAAGGCACTTAGGCAAACCAGATTGTTTGCAAATAGGTCTGGTTATCTGCAAATTAGGTCATTGAAGTTCTCAGGTATGAAGCAAGGCTTATTTTAAGAAATTAAGTTAATTTAGAAATAGTTTTATTGAAAAACAATAAGTTCGAAAATAATTATAAATAAGAACAGTTTTTTGTAACTCCATACATTTTTCATAGTTTCTATTAGACTATCTATTAAGAAGGTTCTTTGTAAATTGAAGTTATTACTTCTATTATTTCTTTATTTCTATTTCCATTATTTCCATTTCTTTTAATAGACGTAGTTTTATTTATCTAATAGTATATTAATTTCTATGTTTTTCATGTCTGTACACTTACAACACCTAGCCCTGTACCTGAACATGTTTGTTGAATGACTCAATTGCAAAATCAGAGCATATAAATTGTCCATTTCTGCAAATTGGCCATAATAACAGCATTTTGAACACATGCTATATGCTAGGAACTGGGCCAGATAAAGGAATATATATCCTAAAAGTCCCTAAAATGTGGTTGTTCTGATTGTTCCCATTTTACAGATGACTCAGCTGAGGCTGGTAAGTGGCAGAACCAGGATTCAAGGCCAGGTCTGTCCCATTCCTAAGCTGAAGCTCTCAACCATTATATGAAACTGAATGTCAATCCTCTGCTCCATGTAGACATTTTTAAGTGGGGAGTATGTTTAACAGATGGAAACTGCAGTGTGGCCCCATGTGGATGGACTGCAGGGCTGAGAAACCCAGCTCCCTCCCGTGAGCCTACAACCTGCTGCCAGCCATGCAGCCTCCCTACCCCCAGCCCTAAATCACTTCAGGCCCTTTGTTCTTCCCATAGCTGCTCAGCAAATTCCTTGATTCAAAATTATGATCACAGGTTGGAGTGCTACTTAAAATAATTTTGCCAAATGTTCCATCTCTCTGCGTTGATGAATATAATGGGTAGCAATTTAAAGAGCAAAGAAAAATATATAAGAATTCACTTTGTTGAAGACCAAAAAAAGACCCCATGGGCCACATCCACAGCTTTCATTTCCACCTGAAGGATTCTCTCCCGCAGGAAGCTGGCCAAATACTAGACTTTCGAGAGCCCTCGGCCTGGTGGAGGGTCGGGCCTGCCACAGATGGAGGGAGCAAAGGCCAGTGCGGGTGCTGGGCTTGTTTAAGCACGAGTCAGAGGTGGAGTGGGGTACGCCCCTGGTTTCCGGTTTCCAACTTCCTGTATGAGTCACTGACGGGCACTTCTTCCCTGCCCAGCCAGGCTTGTATGCACACCACTCTGAGGGGCAAAGGCAGACACAGGGACATGTAAACGACCCAGACAGGCCAGGTATTCCTTCCCTAAGGTAGATTTCTCTCTCTAATTCAAGAGTTCAAATTCTGTGGGAGGCAGGGGTCAAAGGCAAACCATTGCGGCTGGGAGCTAGATCATGCAAGGCGTCCTGCCTCAGACTCGTGGCTTCCTCCCATTCGATACGGCCCTGGGATGTGATCGAAGCCTTGAACCAGCCCATTCCCCAGGCTGGCCCACTGCTTAGGGCTCCATGAGCAGGGTCATTCAAGAGACCCAGCAGACAGGCCATGATGAGCCAAAACAAGGGAGTCTTCCTCACACTGGATTCTGCTGCACCAAATGGCTCCACTTACAACATTTCCTCCATTTTCTGAGGCTTCCTCTATGCTTAAGAAGTAGTGTATTTGCTCAAGATGAGCAAATCCTGAGCACAGAGACAGTAGTAAGAGTCTCTCTCAAATTTTCCATACCAAAAAAAAGCCTTTGAAACAGTGAGGCTTGTCAGCCAGCAAGTCCCACAGTCAATCCTGCCTCTGAGCAAGGATTCCAGGAATCCGGTGAAGAACATGTGTCTCCAGGGCCACCTTCAACACGAGCTGCCTTCTCAAATGCCCCTCTGCCTCTCTGCTGAAGTGTTGCCAAACAGGAGAACCAGTCCCTGGGACAGCCCCAGCCTGCCTGCCTATTTGGTAATGGGCCCTTCAAGGGCTCTCAACGGTGATAAGCCAGCCTACTATGCTTACAGGCACTCCATTTATTGCCCCCAAAAAGATCTGTGCAGCACAAAGCATGGGTAAGAAACAGTGTGCTTCTGCAGGAGCCGAGTCAGCCTTTGAGAGCAAAGAGGCTACAAGGGTGGCAGATGCAGGACAGACAATTCCCAGACCCATCACGTCCCAACTGGGTGATATTTGGGAGGTTCCTGCCCCCTTCTGAGCCTCAGTTTCCTCATCTGTTAAGGGGCAGAATTCTGCACATTTCACCAGGTGGTTGTAGCCGCTCGATTAGCTCTCCCTGTCGGTAAGCAGGAGGCTTTACAGCGATGTCCAACAGTAATGGCAGAAGCCCCACCAGCCAAGATGGAGGGCTGGGAGTCCACACTCAGGAACGCCAAAGCTCTCTGTCACACCCCTGACCTCCAGGCTGTCTGCTTTGCTCTAAGGTCTGCGTACTAGATTCTGTCCAAAATGTGGCCCCCAGCCCAGTACAGCCCCTTCATGGGCTCTGTTTCCAGGCCCTGCCCCATGGACAGTCAGGGAAAGTAGCAGAGCCTGCCGGGCCCATCCCACCACTCTGGATGCTTCTCTCTCCCCATCTCTCCTCACCCTTTGGACCGCAGAAGATGCCTGAGCACTTGGCTTCTCCAGCCTCCTTTGGGGGAGGAAATGCCTTGGGTTCCTTTGACTTGGGGCCACGCTCTCTCCTTTCTACCCCACTCAGCCAGCGTACACCTAGAGAGAGCAGAAGTGGCCACCTGCTGGAAGGTGCAGTTTATCACTGACATTGTTTAGAATTACCACTGCATGGCGATTAAAAATCTGAAAAGCTGTTAACTCTCTAGAGACAGTGCATCCCTCATGGGCACACCCATCCATGCACCCCTCATCTCCTGGGTGGCCCCCGACTCTCTTTTTGCTCCTGAAGCTCTTCACGCAAAATTAATCTGCACTCTCACTCATGTCTTTACAATGGGAGTAATTGTGAAAGAGGTCCTGTTACAACTCCAAAAACGGGTGCTCTCTTTCTCCCTAGAAGTAATTCTCAGGCCCTTTGGGCAAGCAGAGAAATAACTCAACCCCAAAGATTGTTGTAAACTTAAGAAAAGGATCCATGGTGCCTCCTTTACCTTCTTGCATTGTTTTCCTTTTTGCAGATGGTCACATTTCATGAGGAAGTACTGCCAAAGTAAAGGAGGGGGAACCTTCACCCTTGATCATTCCCAGGTCCAAGACCCTGTCAGCAGTGAGGCAAGGACATTCTTTTATTCTATTCCTTGAAGGGTGGCTCCAGCCACTCAAGTGGAAAAGAGTAGAAAAAGCAGAGGATAAACTCACATTGTCTACCTTGTATAGGGTACTCCCTGGAGAAACTTCTGGAAAAAGAAAACAGAAGTCTTACTCCATGCAATAAAAATAACTTCATCAATTCATACTCCTAACAGTTTGTGTACTAAGTGTGTACTACATTCCAGCTCTTCACATACGTCTTCTTAATGAATGCTGTAACAACCTTCTGAGGGAGATACTTTGATCCCCATTTTACAGATGAGGAAATCAAGGACAAAGACATGAAGGGATTCCCCAGGTGGCATAGTAACTGAGAGAGCAGAGACTTACTCCTCTCTGGAGTCCAGGCCACTACTTGGTCACACAGCCCCTCCAGGATTTCCACTGTGCCTGTATCCTTTTTATAATGCCTTTATAAGATGTCAATCAATATTCCTCATCAAAACTTGGAAATGGAGGCTTTGAAAGCAAGCATCATTCCAAACTTGGGGTTAATGATAAAGCTGGAAAAATGCAAAAGACTCACTGTTCCCACTCCTCCCTTATCAATATGTGACTTAGATCTGGATGCCAAGTCAAATTTCCCCAGATCTATATCCTTAGTGGTAACTTATTAAAGAGTAAATCAAAGTTTGCTTTGAGAGAAAAGTAAATACACCCAACTTTCCATACGATGCTGGACCCTGAGTCCACTTCCTGGTTCGGCTGTTGACTCAGGTTGTAACCCTAGATAAGTGCCGGCAAGAGGGGCCTGGGCGTGAGACCCAGCATCGGGCACCCCCGGGAGCACTAGGGGCTGGGGACACTGTCTCCTGGGCAGCCTGCCTGCTTCTGAGAGGCAGACAAAAGCTGCAGACATGGGGCACAAAGCTCTGGATGCAGGTAGTAGCTGTTTGTCCTTGGGTCCCTTGTTGTGAGGAAAGGGGCCATTTGTCACATCACCAATAAACCCTGCAGTTCTTTGGCTCTGAACTCACCCGTAATTATTGGGAGTGAGGTGGGAAGGGCTGCACCTCGGACTCAGATGACAGGGAAGATAAGAACAAAGTTAACAAGAGTCAACTCTAATCACAGTGAGTATTTTCAAGGAAACAAATAAAAATAGTCAGAAGTGGGTCAGCACTGACACTGAGGTTATGGACAGGAAAGTGGGGCAGAGTCCTGGGGAGAGAATAAAAATTGTATTTTATGAATAGAAATTAATACTGTCTTTCTGATCTGACTCCCTGTTTTCCCTTCTCTCTCTACCTTTTGGATATACAGGAAACACACGCACAGAGTGAGGAGGAACAGTGTGATGTTGAATCCTTGATCCACCTTCTCAGTGACAAAACTCCTTTTCCCTGAGGCTGGAGAAAAAAAGATACTTAAAAAGAATTCACTTGAGAGGCTGGGAGGAGAGACATAATCTATACCTATCTTTAAGGTTTCTGCAATCCAGGTGCATGCTGCTTAGGGAGGATGGCAGTAAAGCAAAGAAAAGCCCTTTGTAGGGAGCAAGGGACCTATCCCAAGCCAGCCCTTCACACCAACCATTGCCCCATGGACCCATGGCACTCCATGTGCCACACACACCATGTCCGTGTGCATGTGCTCATATGCACGCAGACATTACACATGCACACTCACACACGTGCCCAGTGTTCACATAGACATGCATCACATACATATACACAGAGTACATATATGTGGTACACACACAGTAGACAAGCACACACACAGTATTCACACACAGAATTGCACACACAGTAGACATGCATAACCCATAAAGTGGTTCTTGTTCTCCCTGTAACCTTAAGATTTAGGCAGTTCTTGTCAGCCCCACACTTGGCAGGATTATTTGTGTGGCCTCAGTAACCTGATTGGGGCAGACTTACTGAGCTTATCAAAGAGAATAAGCAGTAAATCCTGATGTTCAATGATCCCAAGCAGATCAGGGCCAGGACAGAGGAATCAGCAAGATGGTTCCTTTGGTAAGAATCAGCATATTTGATGGGTAATTTGCTGGAGCACTGGAATACTCACTTCCTCCAAATGTTATCTTCTCCGTACTCTTAATAAATAAAAACAACTCTCTAGCTGGACCAAATAGCATAGATAACACACATACATACATGCATGCATACATATTTATCTACATATGTACTTCAGATGCATAACAAAAAATACAGCCACAGTATTTGGGGAGGAAATTGGGTGTGGAAGTGGGTTCTACCTGTGTGGCTTCTCTCTCCCCTAGATGGGGAGCACAAGAAGCAGCCACCGAAGGCATGTTCAGGCCACTCAGCCCATTCGAATCCCCTCCAAGTCAGCCTGGATAGCAAGGAGCTCTGTTCTGAGTCTGGTTCTAACACAGGGTGATTTCAAGACCTAAGACAGCCCTATGTGCCCAGCCAAGCACTTTCCTGCACTGTCGTGAGTTAGCTGTGTCACACAGGAACGGCATCTGTTTTCATTTCTTTGGGAACATGAGCATGGGTTCAAGGAGCTTGTGCCCATTCAGGCCTTCTGGTAGCTGCGGGAGGGTTAGGTTTCCAGAAGGACACAGAATTTACCTGGGCTTTCATCAGCCAGGAGGCTGAGGCAGTGAAGTGGTTTCAGAATATTTTCCAAAAGGCATGCAATTGTTAAAAGACCTGCTCATTAGGAAACCAGCCTCAAAACGGATTAAACAAACAGCGACCCACTGAAAAATCAGCAAGAAAAGATTATTTCTTTTTAGCTTGGGGTTTTCAGGGCGGGATTTTTGGGGGAGAGGGAGGGAGCTACTCAGTCAAGATAAACTCCTTAAGAGCAGGGGACAAAATTCCCTTTCAATTACCAGTGTTTTTTTTTTTTTTTAATGACAAAGTCACACAAGAGAGGAAATGAAAAGGGAAATTTTTAGACTTCTCATCTGTCCAGAAAGCCCCAGGCCTGTTTCAGACCCCTGTCAGGGTAACTGTTGGGCCTGTGGTCAGAGCACTGCAATCCCAGAAGGCCTTGCTTCACCAGCCCCTTATATCAATAAGGAAGTACAATCACCAAACCACAAGCCAGCTTCTTTTCTAAACCCACATGTTGCCTTAGAGGGTTTTTAAACAAAAGACTTTCCTGTTTTTGAAACCTGTGAATCCACAGGTCTTACAGGTTACTCAAATTATCTTATCACTTGCAGCAACCGCTGGCATGGATTTCAAAACTGCTTACCCCAGCCTTCCCCTCCCCTTGCCTCACCAGCATCCATTTACTCACCAGAATCCTTATTTATAGTATCAGGTTGTCAACTGCTGACACAGAAGAAAAACATACTAGTTACACATTAAGCTTTACGGTTAAAGTACCTGGGCCCAACTCTGTCTGAATGACATTATTCACTGTCCAGAAGGCAGGGTAACCACTCTGGAGAAAACCCAACAAAAATGTTTTACAGTCAGATCAGGGCTCCTTTTAAAACAGCCATACAATTTTTCATGCAAACGCACACACACGTTTGCCAGTGTGATGTACAAAATCATCACAAGTCATAGGAGACTATTGTATTCATCACAGGATGTGCAGCAAAGTTATGGAAGATTTTTTTAATACAAACCATTAGGCATCCAACCCACTGACTGAGGGTGCTGTCCAGGCTGCCAGAAAATGAATGGAGTAAAGTGTGGGCACAGGGCTCTATGGGGCATGGACAAAAGACGTAAACCATCCAATCTAAATCCTCCATGGTCTGCAAGTCAGACTTGTTTTTCTGTTGAACAAATAAAAAGATTCAGATTAAAGCATGCACTATAGAACTGATGAGCTCACTCCACAAACAAATGTCTCTTTCCTGCTCAACACAGCAGCTTGAGAAAGATGTGCCAAACCTAACAACTGTATTTGATAGCCATCTCCTGGTTTAACTTCTACCCTGGCCAGAGGCCACTTGGCTTGCTCAAGTAATGACCACAGAACTCATCCTGAGCTCCCTTGCTAGAAGAGTCCACCCTCATAGTGCAGACCTGAAGTTAATGAGAGGGCTTCCAGAAGGCGGTTTTCAGTAACTACCCAATCAGAGCAAGGATGAACAATGGGTGAACTTTATTCTGCAGCTACATCAGTGCCTTCAGAGCTGACTTCACAGAATCCGCATGGCAGTAACAACTCTAGCAGGCACCTATCTAACCTCACACTGTTCAGTCTTTGGGGGTTAGAATCAACACTTAGCTCATCAAAAAAAACAAAAACAAAAAAACTCACATCTTCAAAAAGAAACAGCTCTCAGTTTGTGCACACTGGTATTTTGTTTACCTAATTTTTCTGCATTCCAATAAATCTGCTAGCACTGAAATGTGGAGCTAGACACTATAAGGTCATTATGCTCTGATTTTTATGTTTGGGGGAGGGTTCTTTCAAAATATAAAAAATGCTCTTTTATGAAATATTAACTGTGAATAAGGTAACAGAAAAAAATGTCAGAAGTAATCTCTCAAAGATTTCAATCGGCCTACTGTGGTACAGCACAATGCATCCTTGGGGTGAAATATAATAAGATAAAAGAATTCTGAAGAATTCCAGACTTCCCACACAAGCTGAGTAGATATTTTTAATCATAATACTCATTGGCAAATAATCTATTATGTTTTTATGGAAAGCATCCTATTCTCCAAAATGTTTTAAAAGTAATAACTTTTTTTCTTTCCTCCTTTGGGAAAGTCATTGCTATGAAACTAACATAAATGTGAACGTTTTCTGATTGCTTCAGACCATGGCAACTTAGGACTCTGAGTCCTAAATATTCCTGCCTGCCTTAGGCTGAAACTGCTGGACAATTGCCCAGCTACCCTCTCACTTTGGCTCTGTAGACCTCTCTGTGGCCTCTCTCCAGGGGATAAGCATGGCTCAATTAAGAAAATGCTGCGTCTCCCCATTTCCAGCACCACTAAGTACCACCGGGCCTGCTTCGGGGACTGCATGCTCTCTGCTATCCCA